AAATTTAAGTTTTTTTCTTTTACGCTTTCGCCGCGTATTATATCTGCTTTACCTTTTTATGCTTCGTCCTTATCTACTTGACCTTCAGCCGCCTGACCTTTAGCCGCCTGACCCTTAATCGCTTGATTCTTAATTGCTTTATCAATTAACTTATCTTAGCTTGCGTTATCTCTTTTAATCGTAGTGCTTAATATATCGGTAGAAAGAAGTCGGTCCGAAAGCAAAGGTTCGTTTAATAAAAAAGCTATTTAAAAGTATTAATAAAAGGACTTGATCGCGATAATTTAGTTTACAATCAATAAATTAATAATTTTAAATAAGAAAAAGACGACTTTACAAAGCAATAAATAGCGTTGTATTCAAAAGCGTAGCAAATAAAAAAGCGATAGTTATAATTGATTATTAAGTAATAATAAAAAGAAATTAAACTTTACTTTATAAAGTAAAAATTGCGCGAAGCGGCCGCTTTATCTTAGCTGCGGCCGCTTTATCTTAGCTTCGACTGCTTTATCACTTCGTGAATTCACTAGCGGCCGCGCTAAAATGTTTTAAAAATAAAATGTACGAGTTCACTTTTAACTTTAATACTTTTATTTTATTACTTTTAATTTTATTTTAAACAATTACTTTTAACGTTTAGCTTCTTTATAATATTATTTAATATAGCCGCTTATCAGCTTGATTCGATAAAAGGTATTATTGCAAATACAAATTAGCTTGATTTAATAAAAAAGATTAAAAAATCTATAATAAGAATCATTTTTTTATTTACTAATCTATTTACTAATTAAAAACGTTTTTCTTAAAATACGGCCGATACGACGGCAATCGTAGCGACAAGCAATCCGGTGCTAAAAAACCTTAGCAAGCGCAAAGTAAGTATTTTTTTTATATAATATTTGAACTTTTATTAATTTATTAATTTTTTTTAAAAAAGAAAGTTAAAAAAAGGCTAATTATCAATTAATCTTTATACGATAAAGGCTAATGCTCGTATAGCAAAGCTAAAACAAAATCTTCAAACAGATAAGCTTTGAAAAGCTAAAAAACGAAATTAAGCGGCCGCTAATCAGCTTTTTGCAATTTAAAAACAAACTTTAAAATATTCTTAAGCATTAAAAGCTGAAAAGAAAACTTAATAAACCGAAATGCGAAAGAATTTTATAAATAAACAATACTTTTTCTTTTCTTTAATTTATTAAGCAATTTATTAATCGATTTTAAAAAGAATCGAAGCATCTACGCGAATAATCTTATTATGCAAGCCGCTTTTTTTATAACTAAATTCAATAATAGAAAATACTTAAATAGCGATTAGATTAATAAAGCATTCAATTCAAACGAAAAGGTTTATAAAGAATTTAATTTGCGAAAAAACGAAAAAGAAAATAATGATATACCTCGCGATAAATACGTCTCGATTACCGATAAAAAGATAAAGAAAGTCACTCGGCAATTAATACGTTAATACGTATAAGTAAGCTTTTATTTTATTTAAATATTTATATTTTATTAATAATATAAAATCACGCTATACAATAACCGTTTAGCAATTTCGTCGCTATTAGCAAAGTATAGCGCGGTCTTTATTAATAAAGTATCGAGCTGTTAATTTAAAAAGTAAAGAAGCTTTCTTTAAATTAATAGCTTAAGACTTAATAAGCACGGTTTTAAAACGAATTAAGTAAGAATTCATTCTATTATACTTTTAATTAATTAAACTAATATTATAAATTTTAGTCTTTATCTAATCAAGCCTTTTTACGTTTACTTTTCTTTTAATAAAAAGAAGTATTAGCGAACTAAAATTAAAGCGAATACCGATAAGATTAAATACGAATTGCCGAGTCTAGCCGCTTAATAGAATATAAAAAGATTCGAAAAGAATATTGAATTTAAAAAAGCTGATTGCGATCTTATTTTATTTCAACGCGTTATGCAATTGATTTAGAAAAAAACGAGCCAGCTTTAAAGTTGTTTTACGGCGTTAAAGATAGCGATACGGAATTAAGATCATTTTTAAACTCAATGCTTAAGTTTATATAAAATAGAATTCACGATTAATTACAAATTTTATATTCTACAAAAATACTTTTATTTATCTTATTTATTAATTATATTTATTAATAATACTTATTAATTATATTTACTCATCATATATACTAATCATATTTATTAATCATATTTATTAATTATTATTAAAATGCTTTTCGCGATCGAAAGATATATTCGTAACCTCGGAAAGTCGTAAAGTATAATAGTATATGCAATTGCAAAACACTTTATCTGCTTTTTAAAGTTCAAAAGAGCTGACTTTTTTTATATAATTAATAGAAATCAAGTGCACTAGCTAACTATTAGGTTTTCTACTTAAGTTGAAAGTCTTTTAAGCTATAATGTAGTAAGCTAAGCATCTTAAATGACTTATAAACTACGGTTCACGAGTAAAGTCTTTAAATTATTATTAGCTAGCTTAAGTCTAATCAAATTTATTAATCATATTTATTAATCATATTTACTAATTATATTTACTAATTATATTTATTAATTATATTTATTAATTATATTCACTAATTATATTTACTAATTATATTTACTAATCACATTTACTAATCACATTTATTAATCGTCGGTTTCTTGTATAACGATACGCTAAGTCTTTTAGACGCACTTTATATACGCTAAGCTACTTCTTTCCTTTTTTCTTTCGTATTTTTCGTATTCTCTTATTCTTCGCTTTTAATTTATAAACTATAGTTCACGAGTCCTTAGCGCTTTTACTTTCGTATATATAAACCTTAGTTACCTTCGACTTTTATACTCGGTAATTATTGATTTTAAATTATTACTTTAAGATTCTTTTAAGCTCTTATATAAACCTTCGCGCTTTCGTAAGTTCTTTTAAGTAATCGCTTAAGGTCGTTATATCTTAAAGTTTTAAATCAAAAAAATTGATCGACTTGCTATATTTAAAATCGATATAAATATATTAATAAATTATTTTAATATTTACATTTATAAATTATATTTATAATTAATCATATATATATTTTATTTAATATAATAACGATTTTAAAACTATTTATATAAACTCATCTATTAATTTATAATAATGAAATTCAAGAAGCCTTCGCAAGCTATCGAATTTATTACTTTCTTTTTTTGCGATACTTTTTTTTTATATATAAAAAGTCTTTTACCCGCTAACAATACTAATTTTATAATATCCGTCGTTATGTTCGTTTTTACTAATCCATTCAATAGATAGCTTAATTTTATAACCGTTATTTATAAATCGCTTAACTCGATATTCGTTTATTTTAATTAACTAGCTACGATTACGCCTTTCTTTGTTTAGCATTTCTATTGCACACCGAGCGTTTCGACCGTTCGTTCGTCTAATAAAAAAGAAATAATAAGTTTTATTATTTACTTCGATAAAGATCGAGTTTAATTGGTTTGCAATTTTTAATAAATTAATAACTTGATTAATATATAGATAATAAAACAGCACTTATAAATAAATCGGCAAGCGTCCGTTAAAATATAAATTTCTTTTATTTATTCTTCAGCTATAATAAATATTCGAGCTTATAAATATAATTATAAGCTAATACGATTATAAAGTGTTTTATCGTTTTATATAATAAATTTTTAATTAAATGTTTTTATTTTTAATATTTATTAAATTATATTAACTTTATTTACCGCATAATAGCAGCCGAAAAGAAAGCTGCAAAGATTATATTTAAATTAAGATTTCTATAAGCACTTTATCTTTATATATTAATTAAACCTTAATAAATTTAAGTAAGTACTTATTATAACGACTTTAAGCGATTATTTAAAAAATTTATAAAAAAGCGAAAGGATCATATAAAGCTTAAGAAGATTATAAAATTATTATTTAAATTTAAAATTAATAATTATCGAAAGTAAAAGTTAAAAAAAACTAAATGTTAGATTCCTTTTAAGCGATTAAAAAATATATTCGTAACTTCGTAACGGTCGTCAAAGTACTTGCAATTGCAAAACACTCGGTTATAAAAGTATTTGAATTCTAATTGTTTTTTAAGATTTAAAAAAGCTGAATCTTTTTATATGATTAAAAGTAATCACGCGCACTAGCTAACTAATAAGTTTACTAATTAAGTTAAGAGTCCTTTGACTAATGTAATATACTAAGCGAAGCATATTAAGTAGCTCGTGAACTTCCTTAAATACTATTAACTAACTAAAGTCGATATAAATATACCGACATTAAAGTCTATATATAAAAAGGTTGTTCGTAATAGTCAATTTAAATAAAAAGAGCTTAAAAGCGTTAAAAGATATAATTATAAACAAGCTTTAATAAAAAGGAAATAAAAAGAAATGAAAAGATAAAAAAAAAGAACCGCTAATTAAAACTTAACGCTCGCAAG